TGAGCTTTTCCAAGTTGCTTTAGTGTGCTACTCTCCCCACTTCTCTCTCACCTCTTAGCCATTCCCCATCTCTACTGGTTAGGGTGATGCCATTTGCTGTAACAAATTTCAAAACTTCCGTGTTGAACACAAAATCGTTTTCAGGTTCTCCTAACAATCTGGATTGATATTTCTGGATGTCGCGTGATGGCGGTGAGGGTGGGGGCTGCCATCTTCCCCCACAAGGCCTCTAAGACTGCCCCAGGCATTGACAGACCATCTGCCCAACAGGAGAGAGTGCTGGACGATCCTATGAGGGAGGTTTTGACGGGTCAGCACACTGTTTTTGCTCCATCATTTGGCCACACTTCACCACAAGGGGGTCTGGGCAACATTCTAGCTATGTTCCTGGAGAAGAAGGAATGGGATTTTGTCAACACTGCCACACCATCCTTGAGTGTCAGCCCGAGTCACTTTCACAGAAACTTATTTCCTAACTCATTTTGACTGGGTTGAGCTGCTCCTTTTGGGGTTGAAACACTATACTTGGAAGCCAATTCTTTTAGAACCCATTTTGAAGGTAGAGTACAATAATCATTTATTTACACAGTTTTCTGTATTAGAATATGTATTAGTTTCCTACTGCTTCTGTAACAGATTATACCACACACTCTAGTGGCTTAAAACAACATAAATTCATTTTCTTACAGGTCTAGTGTCAGATGTCTAAAGTGGGTCTTACTGGGTTAAAATCAAGATGTCAGTAGGGTTGTGCTCTTTTCTGGAGGCCCGGGGTGGGGGTGGAGGGCTTCCGTTTCCTTGCCTTTTCCAGTGTGAGGAGTTTCCTGCACTCCTTGGCTCACAAACCCTTCCAAGCCAGCCATCACAGTCCTCCAACCTCTATGTCTCCTTCTCTGCCTCTGACCCTTCTTATTCCCTCTTATAAGGACCCTTGGTTTACATTGGGCTCACCTGGATAATTCTGGGATAAACTCCCCATCTCAAGATGTTTGACTTAATCACATGTGCACAGTTCTGAGTTTTAGGACCTATGTATAGTTGTATGTACCCATCATCACAATCAGGACCCTGAACGGTCCCATCACCTTCCAGAATTCCCCAGAGCTCTCCTCTCTTAACTCTTGGCAACCACTGTTCTGTTATCTGAACTTACAGTTTTGTCCAAGGCAATTTTTGTAAAAAAGATTTATTTATCTATTTTAGAGAGAGAGCATGCGCGTACACTTCAGTGACATTTCCACCCACGGTGTTGTGTAGCTACCATCTCTGTCAAGTTCCCAAACACCTTCAGCTTCCCCAAAGAAAACCTTATACTCATTAGCAGCCATCTCTATGCATCCCCTCACATTCCCACCCCCCAGACCTACACAACCACCAATCTGCTTTCTGGCTCTATGAATGACCTCTTCTGGATGTTTCATATAGCTGGATCATATGTGACCTTCTGGGTCTGGCTTCTTTCCCTTCAGTGGAATGTAGCAGATGAGCAGTTCTTTTCTTTTTCATGGCTGAGTAATATTCCATCGTATGGCTATGCCACAGATGGCTGGTGGCCCACAGAATTTGCCTTCTTTTTAATTTGAACATCACGAAAATTCTTTTTACTGCCCAGAGCCTAACTCCAATGTCACCCCAAGGGCCCATGTGCTCAGCCTTTCCATACATGTTTTCATAGCCATATAACATTTTTGTAAAGAAAGGATCATCCCCCATTTTACACATTCAGAATCTGAGGCATAGAAGGATGAAGTTTCTGGACCCAAATGGCATTATAAGCCTAGAGTCCATTCCACTGCACCCCTGCTGGTATCTCTGAGTGCAGGTAACTGAAAACAAAGTCCATGTGGAAAGCAAATCCTTGGGGAAGAATTCAATGCAGTGTAGACTAATGCAGAAAACCCTTAAATTCTGTGTCCTTCCACAAGGGGTTCTGAATACCCTCCATGAGCATCTCTCTCCAGGCAGGCAGCGCCCATGCCCAGCGCACAACTCTCATCGAGTCCTTTCTTGATGCCCTCTCATTACTTTAAATTGCATCTGAGCCTCTCTGAGCATTTTGATTCCTAATCCAGGGCGTTTCTTCGCCTCCCACTGGTCCAGCACAGCACTTCCTTTTCTCAGAGCTCCCCAGAGAAGTGCCCCCAGAAAATGGAGTTGGTCTTCTCTAATGAATTCGTCTCTATAATGAAGAGTATAATAACCAAGCGCACTGGCATATTTACATAGCAATCTCCACACAAAAGTAACATTACAAAGGGAAGATTTTTAAAAGAATGTCATCTCAAAGCTCCATTTCTTATAGTACTAAGAACACTCTGGGAATTACCCTGACAAGAAGACAGAACCGACTCCCAGAGATGGTGGGTTAGAGACAATAGCTACACCAGCCCCATTAATGTTTAAAGTCAATGGAGCATAAAACTGTTTTTCTCTACTTACAGGCAGGCATCATCTTACAGAGAGGAGGGGAAAAAAATTACCATTTAACTCTAGTGAAATCCTTAAGCCCTCCCCTAATTTTTATTCCCACTGAAATTCTCCAGTAAGTACCATCAGAATGAAAATGAGAATCGCTCTCTCTGGGGGGAATGGCTTCCAGTCCTCATCAGTAAGTGTGTGAAGAGCCCTCCACAGAGACGAGGGGAGGAAGGCTCCCAGCTGGGAAAGGATCTGTCGCCAAACCTGCGAAACCATGGCTGTGGTAACATTCCTCGGGACTTGGGAGACTCTGGGCTGATTTCAGAAGGCCTCAAAGAAGCACAGGTCAGGGTAGACAGGAGGCAGAATTCAAGGGTAAACGCGAGGAAGTAATGCCCTCCGGCTTCATTTTACTTAGTGGGCTGCAAGGGGTAATATTTATTATTAATATATTAGCCGTTTCCCTGGGGGCAATCGCTGGAACTGAGCCAGGTCTCTGTTAGTAAATCATTGGACCTAATCCCACATTACATTTGTGTAATGCCTGACAAAGCCTGTTCCCATTATCTCATTTGATCCTGAAAACAATCCTCAGAGGGAGGCAGGGCAGGGATTATTTTTCCATTTTACAAGTGAAAACACTTGTAAACTGATTTGCCAGGAGCCGCACACCCAGGATGTGGCAGGAATGAGAGACTTCAATCCAGGTCTTTGTACAACCTGTTCAGGGTTCTTTTGACTTCACACAGCGCAGACCCATCCAAATATTCCCAGCCCCACCCAGTCCTCACAACCATCACTTAACCAGCAACTAGGAGCTCACAAGGATGGGGCTTGTGTTTACGCTGCCCACACACCTCTGTTCTAATGAAGATGTACAGCCCCGACCGGCAAACTCTCTGGGGAATTAAAAAAAAATTCATATCATCTCCCTACACCAAAGACCAAAATTAATCCCAGATGGGTTTGAAAACAAAAACAAAACAAAACAAACAAAAAACAACCACAAGACATTAAAAAAAAAAAAAACTAATGAAAATAGAACTAAATATTTAATAACTTTCTGGAGACAAGAAGACTCTAAATTTAGCATTGTGTTAGAAGTCTGAAGGAAAGGGATTTTGTAGATTTGTCTTACGTTAAAATTCGTTAAGTTTTAGTAGAGGAAAAAAATGACTGTATGGGGCCAACAAAAACTTGAAGAGATAGAGCCAAATGTGAAAGAAAAGGGTTAACTTAACTTCTGGTGTGTAGAGGAGTCACGCAAATGCATGCGTAAGAAAAGCTCAAGAGGAAAAACTTACTAGGAAACAGACAATTCGCCAAAAAAGGAAGTGCAGTTGGTTAACATTTAGAAAACTGCTCTACCTGATTAAAAAAATCAGAGGTATGAAAACACAAAGAAGATGTCAGTTTCACCTATGAAATCACAAAAAAAAATTTTTTTTTTTAACTGTAGTACTCAACACTAAGCAGTTTGGTACGTTCATCAGAAACCTTAAAATATCCGTATCATTTGACCTAAAATTCCACTCTTGGGAATATGGTCTTAGCAAAAGAATCATGCATATGGAAAAAGTTTTAGGGAAAGAAATGTTAGTCACACACTTAGAGTGGTGAAATTTGGTAAACGCTAAAGGAATTGTTAAATAATTTATGGAACAGCAACTTGATGGAAACTTATGTAATCATTATAGGTTTTCAAAGGGCATGCAGTAACACAAACACCATTTATGGTGTAATGAGAAGTGGAAAAGCGTGTAACACTGTGTGTGTGGTTGTTTGTATGATACACTTTGATAAGAGAAAGGCTGGAAAGGAAAAAAAAATTTAAATGTGAACATGTTTGAACCCAATGATTATGAAAGATTTTTTTTTCCACCGTCCTATATGTCTATTTAACTTTTTTTTTTAATGAACAAAATCAACTCTTCTTTAGCCCTGCGGTGGCGCGTCCTTCTCTCCCAGAGTCCGTGCGGACTGGAGGACAAGGCAGAGGGGAAGTCTCAGAGAGCCGATCCATAACAAACCTGCCCTCCTTTGCAATGTCCCCTCCGCACCCCAATCCCCGCCTTCTTTCCCTGCCCCCACCGCGGCGAAGCCGGGACGCCGGCGGAGCCCTCCCCTCCCCCAACACGCCAGGTCCGGGTGACTGCGGGTGCGCGGGGGAGGAGCGGGGCGGGCCCAGGCGTTGCTGACACGTGGGAAGCGAGGAAGCGTCGGAGGAGGAGGGGTCGGGTGTGTGGGTGGGTGTGTCCGCGAGTGGGAGAAACCAACCAGACCACCTCAGAGTCGGCGAGTTTTAGTGCTGGTTACCGGGCGGAGGAAGTACGCAGCTCTCCCCGCTCCCGGGACCCCCTCCTGGGTAGGTACTGGGAGCAAACGCCAGAGGGCTCCTCCCGAGGCCCTGCACCGCCCGCGACCACCCGCAGCCCAGCCCCTGCTCGCGCGTCACCCCACCCCGGCGCGGTGGTAGGGCCCGGCGGCGACGTCACCCATTGTTTACAAATCACCCCGAGCCGGTAGGATTCTGGCTCCCGCGGCTGTAGGCGCGCGGCGCGAGTGTCTGGCGGACTCCCGCTTCCGTGTCCGCCCCGGCCCAGGCACCGGCCCGGGCCCCGCTTCGGCCTCACCCCCGCGCCCCGCTCCACCGCGACCCACCGAGTCCTGCCGGCCGCCGAACTCCGGGTGCCCGGGCGGGGGGCCATGCCGTGCCGGAGGGAGGAAGAAGAGGAAGCCGGCGAGGAAGCGGAGGGGGAGGCGGAGGAGGAGGAGGAGGACAGCTTCCTCCTGCTGGAGCAGTCGGTGACGCTGGGCGGTTCGGGCGAGGTGGACCTGCTGGTGGCCCAGATCGGCGAGACGCTGCAGCTGGACGCGGCGCAGGACAGCCCGGCCTCCCCGTGCGCGCCCCCGGGGCTGCCGCTGCAGCCCCCGCGGCCCCCGGCGGCCGTGCGGGCGGACAAGGCCCGGCCGCCGGCGCTGCCGCTGCTTCTGCCTCCGGCACCGGCGCCGGCTGAGCGGGTGGACCCGGCGCCCCCGGGGGCCCTGCGCTGCGCCCTCGGGGACCGGGGCCGCGTGCGGGGCCGGGCTGCGCCTTACTTCGTGGCGGAGCTTGCCGCAGGCCCCAGCGCGCTGCCGGGGCCGTGCCGGAGAGGATGGCTGCGGGGCGCCGCCGCCTCCCGCCGCCTGCAGCAGCGACGATGGCCCCCAGCCGGGACGCGCGCCCGGGACGACGACCCGCACCGGCTCCTGCAGCAGCTGGTGCTCTCGGGGAACCTCATCAAGGAGGCCGTGCGGAGGCTCCAGCGAGCCGTCGCCGCCGTGGCAGCCACGAGCCCCGCGGGCGCCTCTGGGCCCGGAGGCGGCCGCAGCGGACTGGACCCTGTCGCCCTGCAGCCCTCCGGCGCCTTACACTGACCCGGGGCCCCTGGAGGAGGAAGAGGACGCCGCTGCGCAGACCCAACAGCGTCCTGCCCTCCCCAACACTGAGCTGAAGCCGCCGTCGCCGTCCTGGGAGTAACCGCCCAGGCTGCGGGAGACGCGTGGGGAGAGACCTCAAAGCGAGAAGTTACCGGCCCCAGCGAGGCTGTCGGAGAACGAGAGCGTGGAGAAATGCACCGGCCAGGGCGCAGACGTGCCGCGTGAGAATTTCCCTGGCCACCTCGGCGCCAAGGACCTGGGATAAACTGGGAGAACTGTGGCAGCTACTTGCACCGACTTGTACCTGACTTAACCCTTGGGGGCGTCGTGTACTTGGATTGTTTAAAGATTGGGCTCCAAGGGGCGGGTATCGCCAGGGCTTTATAACAATACTTGAAAACTAATGATACGCATACATTTTCTTTATTTTCTGGTGGAAGAGCTTAGTGGACATGGTGCTACAATTGCTGTGCAAAGAAGTTCGGGAGGGAAGAAGAACGTCAAAGCTTGTTGGTGTGTGGGTTGCCATCACCCCCTTCTTCCCACCTAATTGGTGTTTGGTCGGGGTGGGAGATGGGAGGTCCTGTTAGGGGGTTGGAGGGAGGTGGAGAATTTTAAAGGTGGGTAGAGTTGGAGTTGAATGTGGACTTTTAACTCACTTGACCTTGCCACCTGTGGTTCAAGGTCACAGTTTGCTGTGTGCAAAAGGCTGTGGGGTTCCTGGGAGAGCTAAATTCACCCCTGTGACTTTTCTTTCTCTTGCTCCAAGAAGAGCCATGTGTGCTTTGCTACCCCTTGGAGTCCGTGGAGGACAAACAGAGGCAGAGAGGGACAAATGGGGGAGAGTTATTTGTGTTTTTCTGTGCTTTCCTCTTTCCAGAACAACACCTCCTCCTCCTCCCGTGGGTGCACGCTTGGCCATGCCATGATCTTTCTCAGAAACAGTCATCAACAGTCTCCCCTGTCCTCCCAGCCAGACTTTCTTACTCCACCCGTTCTGCTGTCTGCATAGGATAGATGAGACCCTGGCCGTTTTTCTGCTCCGTTCTGGCCGTCTGTGGGGCTGTGGGCCTGAGCCTTGGTGTGGGTCCTCACCCTTCACAGTTTTCTTCTGTCACCAGCTCTTCTTGTGAGTGAATGAAACCGTGTTCAAAATGTGACTCTCCGAGAGGAGAACCCGCTGGCTTTACCCTTGTGAAACTTGACGGCACTTTAAGTAAAGTGCCACCCCCACACTTAAGGTAGCTAAACCAATTTAAAAAAAAAACAGATTCAATGGCTTGTTCATCCTCCAGATGTAGCTGTTGACGTACACTTCGCACCGGAGTGTCAGAAATTGTGGTGGTCCTGATTTATAGGATTTCTTAATTAAAATGTCTGCTGAATAAATTTGGTTTTTTGTTTTGGAGCGTGCTCTGGCTTTTTGGTGGAGGGTGGGGGGGGAGGGAGAAAAACACCTAGGGGCTATCTTCTTAATGGAGAGTGTGGGGGGAGGTACCTGGGCAAATGGTGGGAGCCAGCTTTGTGCAGTGTAGAATATCGGTAGGGCTGCCGTCCCTCATTTTTTCTGGGTTGATGTTCCACGAGATGAGAGGATTAAGTCCAGGTTTTTGAAACCTGCTAGATGGGCTTCCGTGCCCTTCGTGAAATAACATATTCCAGAAATGTTTTCCAGGCTGGAGGGCAGAGGCCAAGTGACTCGCTGTGTCTGGAGGGGGTGGAGGAGCTGATTTTCATCTGGATTTTTGTATGTGAAGAATGGGGAGGACACAGGCAAAGCCACCCTGTTTCCTCTCTCTCACCACTGACCCAGTCTTGAGCTATGGGCCAGGAAAGGAAAAACGGTTTCATAGCCATGCATTTGGTCTTGTAAATGGTTTGGTTAGAGCAGGCGGGGTTTGGATTGAATTGAAGGCTTCCTGACCTCGGTCAGGTCCATCTTCCCAGGCATGAACTCTTGAGTTCCTTCCTACTTGCTTCAGCCCAGAGGTCTGCCAGTCAGCCGCATTAGGTGGTGGTCTGCTTAGCAGCTCTTCCTCCCTGGCCTGCCCACCACTCACCCACGCTCGGGCCGCCAGAGAAAGCTGGTACTCTGTGACGGTTTGACTCAGCTCTGCGACTCATCAGCCTTGTCATAACGAGCAAGTAAGTCACTGCTCTGTGCTTTTTCCTTCTCGTTAATAAAACAATACTACTTATAGGGTGGTTGGCAGGATTAAATTAAGATCTGAGTGTCTGAGATAACTTACATGTTCAAAAAGTGGTAGTGTTTATTCTTGGCACCACCCCTGTCACTTCCTCCCAGGGGGGCCCTATCTGTCTCCTAAATGTGTCCCAACTTGCCCTCACTAACTTCAGCTACCATGAGCACAAGCTGTCCCCAGCCTTTGCTACTGTACAAGTCCCTCTTTCTAACTCCCAGAAGGCTGTACCCACATGGCCTTCTAAACCAGAGTGTCCCTCTGCTTTCATCATTCTGGGAGTAGTGTTCACTGGGCACACTTGTGCCAAGTACTGTTCTGGGTAATCACTCTGTCATTTCATTAGGTCATGGATTGATGGGCCATAAGGTAGGCACTGTTTTCTCCTTTAAAAAAAAAAAAAAAAAAAGATTATTTATTTATTTATTTATTTGACAGAAATCACAAGTGGGCAGAGAGGCAGATAGAGAGAGAGGGGGAACCAGGCTCCTTGCTGAGCAGAGAGCCCGATGCGGGCCTCGATCCCAGGACCCTGAGATCATGACCTGAGCCGAAGGCAGAGGCTTTAGCTCACTGAGCCACCCAGGCGCCCTCTCCTTTTTTTATATATAAAGATTTTATTTATTTATTTGACAGAAATCACAAGTAGGCAGAGAGGCAGGCAGAGAGAGAGAGGGGGAAGCAGGCTCCCTGCTGAGCAGATGGCCTGATGCAGGCCTCTATCCCAGGACCCTGGGATCATGACCTGAGCTGAAGGCAGAGGCTTTTACCCACTGAGCCACCCAGGTGCCCCTGTTTTCTCCATTTTATAGATGACCCATTTTATAGATGGGGCCCAGGAGACTGAGTGACTTGCTGGAAGTCACCACCTTTTAGGTGGATGAGCTGGGATTTGAACCCAGGCAGCCTGGTTCTAGGATCTCTTGTTCCTCAACCAGATTGTCCAGGATACTGTACCACCTGTATGAGACTTTCTTAACACCATTTTCTCCCATGTTGGATTTATTAAGTTTTCTTAAGAGCATCCCACAGACCTTGACCCACTAAGTACCTTAACACAGTAGCATCCCTTTTCTCAAACTTCTCTTAAATGCCAGCCACATATGTGCAAGGTCCTGGGCCTGGGGGATCTGGGATGGGGCAGGGTTTGAGACATCCTGGAAGAATTAACCAGCAGGTTTGGGGCCAAGGCCTTCCCGTAAGGTAGTAGGAATCACATCAGAGAGGCACAGATAACAAATGGTATATGGCTGCTGTTTGCAGAACCTCAGGTTGTCTGTAGGATGAGGGCATAGGGCTGAGATGCTGCAGTCTCCGCATTACGGCCGTTAACAGCACTCGGGCATGAAGGTAGGGTTGTATCTGCAGACAAGGAAAGAGGATCTCTAGGACCTGAGAGGCGAGGGAGAGAGAGGGAAAAACTGATACCTGTTAAGGGCAGGTACTGTGGGGGCTCTTTTTATAAGACGTTACTTTGCTCTTTATAATGGGGAGAGGTAGGAATTATTGGTGGTGGAGCGGGATCTGTACTCATGGCTCTTGAGCTGATCCTCTTGCCTCCTGCCTGAACCTACCACACATCTCACGAGCAGCCCCTGCTACTGATTCAGCCATTTGCAAAGAATGTAGAGAGCCTGGGCCTGCGCAAGTGTGTCTGTGTTGAGGCAATGGCCATTTCCAAGTGGAAGCACCTTGGGATCGCCCATTCCTAGCACCTGGCCCAGGAATGACTATGCCTGGGCTATCCCTAGCCCTTTGGAGTGGCTGGGCACAGAACTGGGGGTATGGGAGCCGGCAGAATTGAGGCAGCTCTCATCTTCTGAAGGAGCTGGGGCCTAGGTTTCCCTGGTAACATTCTGCAAGTCTTGAGCCCAGAAGGTCCAGAGCAATAGGGAAGTGGCAAGCAGAAGCTGGTTGTTGGAGTGGGGGGATGGGGCTCGATGAGGAGTTTCATGCGGGAAGCCATAGGGACAGCAGCCTTGTGGTTCAAAAATGACTAGAAGCTGGAGAGAGAGAGAGAGCAGGGCTGGGCTAAGGATCCGGCATTTAGAACTAAGGGGAAAAGGTGGAGCCAGGGAGACGCTGGCCCTCGCGAAGCAGTACTAACACTGGCAAATGGACACAGTGCCTGCCAGGGGCCAGGCTCTGATCGAAGTACTTTACGATGACCAACGCTTCCCAACTACGTGGCTGGAAGAAAAGTAACTAATAGAAAGGGATGGAAAGTAAGAACTGAGGGAGGCTGAAGGGTGGATGGTAAGGGACGGTGGCCGGGTGAGTGTGTCTATGCAGGCGCGTGGGCGTGCACACACACACACACACACACACACACACACAGCTGTAGCTGTTTGCATACATCCTCTGTGGTTAGGTCCAGAGTATATGGAATCAGAACGTGCTCAGTGACTTTCACTATCTTTTTTGCACCCTGAAGTTACGTTCCCTCCTCGGCACCATTAAGCCGTGTGTCTTAGATATGTGCACTGTGAGTTCTTTGCCTGCTTAGCCCCGCTGAAGCAAAGTCCTGTGCCTGGTGTGTCTGGAGAAAGCTGATTATGACTCCAGTCCGAGGAAGATTTTTGGAAAAACCTAGATCATCAATTTTTAACCAAGTTAGGTTGTGGAATCTAATTTAGTAAGAAAAAGAAACAGGCAAAAGGCAGGCCAAAGGTAACAAGATGATAACCAGCTTGTGATTTTTTTTTTTTAACCCACTCAAATCAATAAGTCAAACAAAGTGCCTGAGCAGCCTATCAGTTGGGGGTTGTGAATTTTACCTCCTATGAGTCAGTTAATTGATAAGGGGCAGCAGTTAATCAACTCCTTGAGAGCAAATTGAGCTTCCGTTCTATTGGAGCGTTAAGTTGCATTGAAGGATTCTTTCACACAGGAATAGCACAAGCATATGCAGCGATCCTGGGCACGAAGGGTGATACACGGTGGTTCCGATGGCCAGCAGTCAGGTCCCTGGCCCACCGCAGCAGAACAGTTTGTGACATAAGGCGCTGTCAAGTGGGACAGCCACCCCTCTGGCCCCCCAAAACCCTGCCATTCAAGGCATGCTGTGCCTTCTTGCCTCCTCAGGTGGCCTTGTCCCTTTGAGCACCTTCCCTTCAGTTTCTCCCTCTGCACGTCCCTCCTGGAGACCAGCAAGCACAGGTCCCTCCTGGTTGAGCAGATCCGTCCCTTTGCCCAGTTTTTCC